AATGTAACTAAAGTGTCAGTTGTACATGTCAGTAAACATTGTCAATATAAAATAAAGTGTCAGTTGTACTATATAATAACAGTAATAACAATATAATATAAACTCCCAGGTGTAGGGAGTCTCAGCAGCAAACCCACCTTTATTATATATCTTCCTGAGACCCACTGCATCCGTCTGCCATAAACACTATGCAAACATACATGTTAGTTTTGGCCCATAGTGGACTCCATGTTGTGTTGTGTGAAATGGGGGGGAATTAAAAGTTTAGGTCAAATAATATTTAAAATGATATAAATTGTCATATTTGTGTATGTGCCCCTGCCATTCCCCCACAAGGTTGCAACATTGATGATAAATAAATGACAAATAAAGCTTTGCCAGTTTATAACCGATGAAACATGATGGTATCAGAATAATCACTTACATGTGATGTATAGGATGCTACACAGGTCACAAAAGATAAAGTGTCAGGAGAAATAAGCTTAATCGCCATGTCGGTTTTCTTTATTGCACTCTCAAGACATAACATTAAATAGAACAATTTTAAATGTAAATAAAGTGTCAGTTGTACATGTCAGTAAACATTATATATAAAATAAAGTCATAACAGTAATAACAATATAAAATAAACTGTCCCAGGTGTAGGGATAGTCTCAGCAGCATACACACCTTAGTGCAACGTTGTGTGTCGTGTGTCAGTATTTACAAAAACTATACCAAATAAACTGTTATTAAATGCAGTTTGTCGCTCATCCTGCCGCTGCGCGGACGCTTCCTCATGGCGCAGCGCCCACACTTCATCCTGGTGCTGCTGGCGCTCCATCTGCTGCTTGAACACTTCTGCCTGGCGCTCCATCGAGGTGAGCATCTTGTCCTCCGTTTCCTGGGCCTTGGTGAACAGCACCATCTGATCTCCACGCAGCGACTCATTCACCACGGCACGCCGGTCCTCCAACGCCTGGGCGGTGTCAAAGAAATTCGCATCCCGTGTCCGCTTTCCTAAGAGGGGAAAATAAGCAATATACAAGATCTTAGTCGCCATGTAGTTTTACAACATACTAGGAATGTGTTTTTTGTATTTTCACAAATAGAATTAAGGTTTCACAAATCTGAAACTGTGTTATAAAGAATCTTTTGACTCTCTGGGATAATCCAGTCCAGATTTGATGAGTGTAGGTATAGTAGTTTTAGATCAGGACCTGGTCTAATGTGGTCTACATGTAAAAAAAGCACTGAAATCTCCCTTTTTTGTATTTTCACAAATAGAATTAAGGTTTCACAAATCTGAAACTGTGTTATAAAGAATGTTTGGCCTCTCTGGGATAATCCAGTCCAAATAAATCGGCTATGCAGCGATTCAAGAGGTTCAAACACGGAGGATTGTTCCTTTTTGAAGAGTGCTTCATGTATGCTTGAACTTTGTTTAATGTTGTTGAGGCAAGTTAAACATAAAATATGATGAATATTATGAAATAAACATGATTGTGAACATCAGTTCGATGCGTAACGTTCTTTCAAGACAAAGTTACAGTGTGTGTACCTTTGCGTTTGGTTGCTGGTAAGGAGGACGACAAAGCGCTGTGATCTAGAATGCAAAGCTCACTTGTTTCCAATCCCGAGAGTTGTCCATCCTCGCCTGAAACAGACGATTAGTGCCATGAGTTAGTGAAGCAAATTACAGAAACACTGCACAGTTATTCACAAGTCAAAACGTTTTCATACAGCGGAGAATATCTAGCTAGCTAGATGTAGCTAGCCGGGGCCGGTGTTAGCCTATTATGGCTAGCATGGCTAGCTTGATCTACTGAGCAAATAAAAGTACATCTGAGACCATTATTGTGCAGATTAAAACCCCAGTGCATGTAGTTGATTTTACCTTCATCGTGGTAGTCATCGTTGGCCACTGAATCCGCCGTTTGTAGTCCTGAGTTTCTTTATATTTAGCCGGCTGTGCACAATTCCCAGGTCGAGTGAAAGCTACCGAACTGGCTTCAGTAGCATTCCTTGGGTCGCGTCCTCGGCGTAGATCTCCAGAAGCGCCGACACCTCCTCATCATTTCTTGATGCTTGCCATAACTGCTTTCAAAAACAAACACAACGCACGGAGCGTTGTGTTTTTGTAGCGAGGAAAAACAATGGCGTCTCCACACAACATTTTCAGAGTTGTACGGGCGTGGTTTGCAATTCGCCCAGCCAATCAGCACTGGGGAACTTTTGGAGCACTTTTCACCCACAGAAAAGTACGCTCTCTGAGCTGGCTCTAAAAATGGGGGTAAAAGTACCCGAGATTAAGTACGATTTTTGGTGTGAACGCGACATAAGGGGTACTCACGGAACTAAAACGCGAAAAGTACGGTGAAAGTACTCCGGTGTGAACGCGGCTAATGTGATGTACTGCCCGCTTGTTTGGTGCCCTAGGCGAGATTATGATTTGGTGCCCCCCCTCCAAGTAATACACAATAGAATATATAAAGAATAAATTAAAAATCTCTACAAAAGACCAATACACTACAAAAACTGAAACGTATTGACATGTTGGTTATATACATAAAGAAGGTTTTAAATGTATTCATTATTGTATGAACATGTTTTAATTGGGGGGTGGACGTCACATCCTCTAGGGGGGTCCAGGGGTATGCCCAGGGGTTAAGTTGGGATTTGATATGTGGGGGGGCTCTGTGTGGAGGTGCGAGAGGAGGGCGGAGGTCGAGGATCTCATTATTTGACCTTAAGGGATATAGGCCTACACTGTGGCCCTAAAGCAACTGCTCCATTATCTGTATCAAATGCACACATTGAAGCCACCAAATGTCACAATAAAAATAGAAAGTACTACAAATAAACTGGAATTCATTTACATCTTAAATTATTAATATATATACACAAAAAAAGGTTTACAAATATCCAACCTTCAAATTGCTTTTTTAAATCAACACTGCTCTGCACACTTGCTAAAGAACATTTGTGTGGAAATCCCAATTCATTAGGGCTGCTTGAGTATGGCCAAAAGTATGGGAGTAAATCTCACTGTAAACTATTTAATCATCACCAAATTCTGTGTTATTTTTGACTGTTTGCGCTCATCCTAATTTTCAGCCTTGATGTAACAACATTCACAATTAAGTAAAGGTAACACCCTTTTCACCCTGGTTACACTTTTAATTTGCCCTGTACGATGGGCGCTGTAAGTGATGAAAGTGGGGGGTGTTGGCTTATCAGGCGTCCGCAGCTCACAGCCAAAGTGGGCGTGGGAGCGAGCGAGAGAGATAAATGCAATTTATGTAAACAAATATTTCCAAGGCACTCCTTTATAATTATTTGGATAAACAGGTTTGAAATCATTTCAATGTATACTATAGGACAGTAAACCAAAAATATCGTTTACAACTTGAGAGATATACAAATATGCATAAATAAATGTTAACTAGGTAAAATAAGATATGAATGAACTACAAAAATAAAATAAGTTATATTTATTTGTTATTGGCTGTGGTATGTTATTGGTTTTGTTCACATATTTGGTTATTAAAATGTAAACCGGTCTTTTTCATATGGGTGTTTAGAGTTGTACCCCCTAGATCTAGTCTCTAGTAATATGTGCTTTTAGTGCACCAGATTGAAGCATTTTACTTTACATTTTCAAACATTTCTTCCCGGGGGGGGGGCATACCCCCGGACCCCCCTAGAGGATGTGACGTCCACACCCCAATTAAAACATGTTCATACAATACTGAATACATTTGAAGCCTTTTTGATGTGTATTACCTATGTCAATACGTTTCTGTTTTTGTAGTGTATTGGTCTTTGGTAGAGATTTTTCATTTATTCTTTATATATTCTATTGTGTATTCCTTGGATACTTTTATCTTTTCTACTGTACGATTGAAGTAAATGTGGGAAGCGTTTAACAACAGCCATTTACTTCAAAGATTTTTCTCAATGTTATTCTTATTTTTGTTAATCCTGGAAGAATGCCAGAAAAAAAGACATTCTCTTCAACAATAAAAAAAAACATGACATTAGTAATTGTGATAACAAATTAAATAAGTTGTTAGGTTAAGTCAGGGCCGGTTTTTGGCATAGGCGACATAGGCGGTCGCCTAGGGTGCCAGATCTGGGGGGGGGCGCTGCGCTGGCAGCTCTGGGAGGGAAAAAAACTATATATATATATATATATACTATAGGACAGTAAACCAAAAATATCGTTTAACACTTGAGAGATATAAAAATATGCATAAATAAATGTTAACTAGGTAAAATAAGATATGAATGAACAACAAAAATAGCTAAAATCTCGCCTAGGGCAGCAAATTGGTCACTGCCAGTGACCAATCGGATGGGTGTGGTAGAGACATAAAAGCCAGGTACTTCTCAAAGCCTGAGTATATTTGTGCAGACGTTTCATGATCAGCTGTTTTAGGGAGCGACATCATTTGTGTCTTCTATCGTTAGTTAGACACAGAAAACATTGTCAATGGCGTCAGAAGACTATGGGGAAATGAGCGGGGAGGATATGTGTGAGTACCTGAAAGAAAAAGGACTTGGAAGGTGGGCAGATAAATTTAAAGGTAAGTTTCTGGTTTGGTCATTTAAATTGATGGTTAGGTTTTATATCATCGTTGGCCAAATTGAATAAACTGATGAAAAAAAAATGCTTTTGTTTTTTTAAATTCAACTTAGTTTATAAACTTGTCATAAAAAACTACAATGTGATACAGGACTGTAATTCACTGCATCTTCTTTTACCCAGGAAAGTCTGTTATCAAGAGGCTGAAGCTCAATCATGATTATCTGACTAAGATGGGCATAGAGTGAGTATCATCCCTTGTCAAACCAGGTTGCAATTAAAAAATAATATATAACATCATGAAAAGAAGGAAGTGTGTTGCAACTGTTCCTGAAGCATTGGCCCTAATTTGGTGCAACAACTTCCCCCTGGCTTGACTTTTAATTTATAATATACTATGATTTTTTTTCACGATTTCTTTAGTAAAGTTGAGGATCGTCAGAAAATCTTGGACAGTATCTTGAAGATCTGGCCAGCAGCTCCCAAGGTGATATAATATTTTGTTTTATGTATTGCTTCACACTACATGTTCAGGGCCTCAGAAGGAATGGAGCTTGTTTTAGTTGTACTCTTTAGGGTCATCATTTGACAGGTTTTTTGTTGTACGTATTCTGTTAGGTGTTTAATGATCCAATCCACGGACATATGGAGTTGCACCCTCTTCTTGTCAACATCATCGACACGCCTCAGTTCAGTTATTAAGATACCTCAAGCAGCTGGGAGCGGGCTATTTTGTTTATCCTGGAGCCTCCCACAACCGGTTTGAACACTCAATTGGGTATGTCCAATGTGTGTTAATGTTATCCAAAATCAATATTAAGTGAAGACTTGTTTGCTGTAAATGGACTGTATTTACATATGGCAGCAATAAACTGTTTAAAACAAATTGCATATCCTGTTCTGCAGCAGGACACTCAAGTGGTAATTGTGTGATGACTTGTTATTGTTGTGTGCTCTATGCTTTGGTGAAGGGTGGGGTACTTAGCAGGAGAGCTTGTGAAAGCTCTGAAGGAAAAGCAGGATCTCGACATCACTGACAGAGACATCCTTTGTGTTCAGATCGCTGGGCTATGCCATGACCTGGGTGAGTGATACACACCTTTCACTTTAATATGTGATAGGGTTTAAAAGAATAATTCATCAACAAAATGACGATTTGTATACAACAATTTCTTACCCTGTATTACCTGTTTAGTTATTTAAGTTTTTTTCACATACACTTTGAACAGAGAACAAGAATAAAAATGCAAAATATATACAAAATGTTAAAATGTCTCACTTTTTTGTTTGTTTTATAGTTTATATATATATATACCATTTGCTTAAAATATTTATTTTTCTCCGTATATAGGACATGGACCCTTTTCCCATCTGTTTGATAAAATGTTCATCCCCAAAGCAACACTCCCACCTGGTCCAGGTGAACAAATAAGAACCTGGAAGGTGAGCAGTTATTATTCCTATTGTCTGTATTGTGTGACATTATACCCAACAACAGAAATAAAACACATTTATAAAACCCAGCCAGCAGCTGCATGTCATGATCTGATCATGTTTTTTCAATCTGTGATTTTGACTGTTCTACCGTATTGCAATACTACATGGTACAAGTGTTTGTCTTCCGCCTTAAAGTTAAAACAGTTGAAAATCTTCTCAAAGATTATAGGTCACAACTGTGAGAAATTCTATGAATCAACCATAATACCGTAGTGAGGCTGGCCATCAACATCTCTGATCCCCAACATGTTCTGAACAGTGAATATGAATTGTTACCATCAAGTCGGAGGTACAGGGTCCCAAGATTTAATAGAGTTAGACTGAAGCACTCCTTTGTGCACCAGTCCATCCTCAAATTAAATACAGAGCTCAATCCCAGGTCAAATGTGCGCTTGAGGGTCTTAAGCATGTTTTCTCTTCAGTGATTGTTATGTTAAATGTTTGTTTCCTTGTATCGTGTCTTAATATTTGTTCCTGGTTGATGTTGCAAATGGAGCTGCTATGATGCAGGAAAAATGTCAGATTTGATCTGACAATAAATAATATCGTATCTTATTACACATGCAATATTTTACATTCAATGCGGCATTGCCTTTAATTAATTAGTTGTATTTTGTTGCTTTTTTCAGTCAAAAGCAATAAAGCATAATCCTTTCCAAAATGATGCACTATTCCTTTAAGCACAATTAGTTGTGGCATTCATGGTATTATGAGACACATGCATGTACTCTGATATTATAACTACCTTTGTCTGCTTTCTTCCAGGAACTTCTTGAAAAGTTTTCATATATATATATGTACTCTTAATTCAGGTGTTTCAGTTTAATAAAAGTTCAAATAGAAAACATTATCAATTTAACTTATCAACATGAAATATACATTCTTATTGATTGCATAATGTATTGGCTTAAGAATAATGACACGCCTCACATTTATTGGATATTAATTGATGTTATTCTGACTTATTCAGTTTACAGTTACAGCAATAACTTAAACATGTATGAGAATAGTGGGAGTGGTGAAATATCTGGTATAGGGGGAGCGGTGCAAACAGGCTGTTGCTTTACAGAGCTCCCTGTCGTTATGTACGTTTTGGCAACAGACCTGTCATCTGGTAAACATATACTGTCATGTTTTCAGCAAAGCCAGGCCCTTTCTATTTAAACAGTGAGTCATTGTTCATTTTTATCACTTTGAATTCTCATACTAATATATCAATGAATTTGTGTACCTTGCAGCATGAGGACGCCTCTGTAGAAATGTTCAACCACATGGTGGAATCCAATGAGGATCTGAAGTGGAGGATGAAGGCATGTGGCCTGAAGCTGTCCGAAGACTTGGACTTCATCAAAGAGATGATTAAACCCCCGGCAGCTCAAGAGGAAGTTAGTCATGCAATTTGAATTTCATGATATCAGTTTTATCATAGCCAATGTCTAATGCCAGCCACTCTGTGCTGTCATCTCCACAGTGGCCATATGAAGGCCGTCCAGAGGAGAAGTCCTTCCTCTATGAGATTGTAAACAACAAAAGAAACGGCATTGATGTGGACAAGTTTGACTACTTTGCCAGGTGGGGCTTGGTTCAACAGCTAGAGCAGTTCACTTTTTAATGCAATAAAACAAATGTGTATTATACAAAGAAATAATTCACATTAAGAACATAGTCCTGGTTATTTAAAGAACATGTAGCATTCTCCTGGTGTCTTAGATGAGTTTTTGGTAATAAGCACATTTTCTTTACTTGTCTTGCCTTTGTCTCATCAGGGACAGCTACCACCTGGGCATCAAGAACAACTTTGACCATGGCCGCTTCATAAAGTTTGCCAGGGTGTGTGACGTGGACGACCAGAAGGGGGATGGGCTGAAGGTGGACGGGCAGAAGGTGGACGGGCAGAAGGTGGATGGGCAGAAGCACATCTGCACTAGAGACAAGGTGCTGACTTTGTTACATCTGCTTTTTGATCAGCTTTTTTAACAGCAATCAATGTAAATTATTAGTGGTAACGTTTGGATAATTCTGTTAACAGGAGGTGAACAATCTCGATGACTTGTTCCACACGAGGTACTCTCTCCACAGAAGAGCCTACCAGCACAACGTGGTTAAGATCATAGAGTATATGTGAGTATATTCCCTTCTCACGTTGGTACTCTGATTTTAATAATTGAATTTGCTTCATAATCAAATCTTTTGTATGGTATGCATAAAGTGATAAAATATTTCTTTCATCCAGGATCACAGAGGCCTTTTTAAAGGCAGACGAGCACATCCAGATTGAAGGCTCAGGAGGGGATATGTTCACCCTCTCCACAGCAATAACTGACATGGAGGCCTACACCAAGCTGACAGGTCAGCAGAAACCACTGTGTGCTGTGAGCTTGTGTTTTAACAATAAAGCAAAGCATTATTCATAATCCAACATTTCTTTGGGGGGGAAGCTTACTACTGTATTTAAAACACTTCTGCAAAATCAGTAGCACTGTAGTTCCCCAGTGTAGTTCTGTTTATGCAGAAATTATTATTTTGGTGGTACCTATTTCTTTTATCTTGTTAGTATGTTTAACAACACAACAAAATAAACTCACCAGTGTGTTTAGTACTTACTGTCACTGGGGTAACGAGTTTGGCCAGGGCATGCCACAAGGACATGCTAATGACAACAGGCACATTAGAGCAGATAGGGTTAACTCACCATTTCATATTTTCCTTACACCTTTACACTTATGTTTTTGGTTTTGTAAAGGTTACATTTAGACACAACCATTGGCACATTTTCAAAGTAATGCTCTTCGGCTCATGGAGAAACAAAAACTTGCCGTTCTGGTTACAGATTATATTAACAGACAATTTGGTTTAGCAAATGCAATTGGCTGAAATTTGGTCATGGAGTGTTTTTCATAATTTTAAGAACAAATTAAAGTAGAACAAATGTTATCACAAAGGTGTACTGCTTAGATGTTGTGAGTTATGCTTCTCAGTTTACAGTGTCAGTGACTTAGTTTTTACCTTCTTTCTTCTAACCTGCTCTTCTGTCCCGTTTGTCTTAGATTGTGTATTTTACCAAATACTCAACTCCACAGAGGGTGATCTCAGAGAGGCAAGGGAGATTCTAAAAAAAGTTGTCAATCGTAAACACTACAGGTTTCTGGGTGAAATCAAGCCTGAAGGAAACCCAACCGAGGTGTGCAGTAATGCATTTTGTTCCTGTATTACATTCAATATTTGTAATCATTTATCTCCAGGGATCGCACAGCAGGAAAAAAGACGAGTAATCTGTTCATCAAAAGAGATTAATGCAGGAGGGGGAAAAAGCATAACCTTATTTTTTTTTAAATAACAGTTATTTTATTAGTGTATTTTAAACATTAAACTCAGGAAAGCTTGATTCATTTATGTTTCATGACAAATATCTATCTCAATTTGAGCAGACACGCCTTCGGTTACCATCAATTATTTTACTTCAAATGTATGCATAATAACTTATTTAATTACATGCAATTATCAGATGTTCACTAACGCTTTTTGCTTGCCAACCTTTGCTGGTGATCGAGAATTACACTATATATTTTTGCCTTATTTGCAAAGGTTTAGCATTAGCAAAAGCGGTGCAGTCTTCTTTTGAATTTGTCCCTGATTATTCCAAAATTAAAGTTTGTTAAAACAAAGCTGAATGCTATTGTGGTTGAAGCACATGCTTGTTTCTGTTGTCTCTATCGCTTTACATTGCCTTATGACTTATGACTACATCCACAGTAAACCACTGCGTAAAAAAGCCTCACGTTCACAGTAGCTATTCTGGGTGTTTTTATAGAGACCGACGCCAGCAGTGAACAATAAAAGAGATGGCATCATTTTATTTTGAAATTAGCAAATCTGCGCCTCAAAGCCAACATCTGGTGAGGTGTGAGTCAGGTCCCTGAATAATAATGATGTCAACAGTATGACATAATCAATGATAACATGAACTTATTATTGTGTTGGGTGAAACAAAACAATTTTTAATACTGATATCTGATGAAAACAATCTCTGTTTGATATGACCTGCTAAACTGACATTTAAATGAGATAACTTTAGGAGCAACATAAACTTTTAATAAACTGCAACACAGACTAATGCACTGTAAAGGGTTTGCATCAAGAATACGTTATAATCAGGGGTGCACATAACTTTTTTAGTGAGTTACTCAGATGAGTACCAAGAGACAGCGTTTGGTACTCACCCCACACGAAGCGTGGTCCTCCTCAGTGTCTCCTTCACTGTCCTCAATTTACACTTCTTGCATGCTAGATGATGAAGATGATGAAGATGCACCTCCCTGTCTCTTTTAAGCCTCCGATTTGCTTTCTCCAAAACTTGTTGCCAAAACTGTGAAGTCCTTGCATTTCCTGAGGCCAAGTTGAAGGATCAAATACTAAGAAATGATCACATGACTTGAAGTCATATCTGATTTCAAATGTGGGAAGTAACAAAGCACACTTATTTACTCAAGTACAATTTTGAGATACTTGTAGTTGCAGTGGCGACTGGTCATTAGGGGCAGGTGGGGCACAGCCCCACCTAGTGTCAGCAGAAAGTATTACAAATAATGATTACAAAAATGCAAAAAAATAAATAAAAAAATATATAAAATATATTTTAAGATCATGTTTAATCATCTGATTCGTCTGTACATTGCTGTTTTAGTCTGTGTTCTTCTAATTAGTGTGTCTACAGTCACAGTGTGTGCCTATTGAGCTGTTTAGAGCCATGTGGGACAAAACCTGATTATGCCCCTTCCTCTCGCTGTGAAGTCAACGGTGACTGTAAAAACTACACTGCGCATGCTCAGAGTATTTTGTAATGAAATGTGTGTGGCAAAAAAATAATGACCAGAGGGGCATGGAGCTACCATCCCCACCATACGTCATCTCAAATCATTCAGAGCTGATTGGCTGTAAGTACGTGTGCCGCGAAAAGTGTGCTGTGTGAAGAGGAGACGAGAGAGCTGCAGTGGCGCGTCCTAAAACCAGGAAGTAAGCACAAAAAGCAATGAGATTTCTCCAGAGGATTTTAGAAAATAGCTCGAAATAAGATCTGTGGGAAACGTACCTGTTAGATAAATGCACGTTTTGATTAGCCGGATAACATCCACATGTCTACCCTACTTATATAATTTTTTTATCATAAATCTATGGATTAGATTTATGATAGACTTTTGAAACTACAAGAACATAAGGAGGACTTTTACAAAAAAGTAATAGAAATGTTTGTCCAGAAGGATAGGCAAATGGACTTCATCTTCAAGTCAAGGTAAGACCGCCATTTTATTGAAAATGGGATCTTACTAAGAGAGAACAATTCAATATTTAAATGATAAAATGACATTTTTTGGGTATCCTTTTGTTGAACTGTCTGTTTAAAATTAATCGAAGCATCAGACAAAAAAAGCTTTTGAAAATAATATTATATTTTGGTTTAGGTCAAAATATAATATTTGTAAACCTGAAGAGTCAGTGCCAGTGCCTCACCAGCCATGAACCTCACTGCACGTCACTGCAGAAGCTTATATATAGACATCTAAGTTTTTTGTGCCCCACCACTTTTGTACATATAAAAACGCCACTGTGTAGTTGACTTGAGTATTTCTATTTTATGCTACTTTGTACTTCTACTTTTACTCCACTACATGTATTTAATACCTTTAGTTACTTTACAGATGTGGATGAATGATGTGAAATCTAATCAAGTGTTAAATCAGACTTTAGTTCCACCTGGAGTAAATTCACAAGCTACCCTGCAGTATACAAAGTCATTCAAACTAGCTGCTCCTTTACCAGCTTTGAGAACACTTTCATGATCAATCATTATAAAACATATCATATATATTATTCTGAAATGGACCAATCTGCACAATGAATACTTTTACTGTCTCTACTTTCACTATATTTTGATAATACTTTTCTAATTTTACTTGAGTAACATTTTGAATGCAGGACTTTTACTGTAACAGAGTATTCCTACACAAGATCTGAGTACTTCTTCCACCTCTGTCTGATTTCAAACTCTTCCATAACACCCTGAGTAAGTTTGCAGCTGTGTGTTTCACTCCACTTTGGTGTAAATAAAACTGCAGCAGCTTGACCACAGAGCGTGAACGTTGTGATCAGATGATTTTGCGCAGTTCTCCAGTGTGTGCGCGGGGCACAGAATGTGCACAGGGGAGTCTCCCACCGCAGCCAGTTGGCGGACTTTTGGCACAATTCTGTTGTTTATACCGACGTTAACCCTGTCTGTGCACACGGCGACCAACTCTGTCGTCCAGTGATCTAAGCCTCTGCCTCCTGGAAAGCTTCACAGGTCCGTCGGTTATGTCCTGCGCGGCTCACCCAGCTCCAGTTCAATCAGTCATAGAAAGATTTTTTGCAGGGAGCGAAACGGCAACGTAGCTGCTTAATGTCTTTGGGTTTTTTGACATGCCTAGTAGTTTACTCCATTGAGTGTTGACAAGAAACACGTGTAGACGAAATATGTGTTTTGTTTTGATGTTTTGAGGTACGCAAAGGCGCGTAGTGACACAAGTGACGTTACGCAATTCAGATTTGTGCCGCGCATGCGTACCTGCGTACCAGTTATGTGCACCCCTGGTTATAATACAACTTTTGAAAAGGCCTGTTGTCGGGTGAGAGCAAATCTTTAGTTTGAGTTTTGACGGACAGCCGAAACTGAGAAACAAAGATGTTTGTTTTTAATGTACCTGCTTAATGTGGACCTCCTCTTACTGTGTTTTATCACGATGGAAAGAACTGCAAATGTATTTCATCTCTCACTTCTCAACCTTTGTCCTTCCTACTTAAGGAGGAGATATCTCAGTTGAGAGAGGACCTGACTGCAGCCCTCCCACTCCCACGAGAGGGAGCTCCGGCTGACGGGCTGACAAACGAGGACTTTGTAGTTTTAGTGAGTTTTTCGTTTACTTACTTTTGCTTCGCCAATCCATTGATTTACTTTTGAATAAAGAACAGGCTTCTGTCTCAACCTTCTCTTCTAGGCTGTTACTTTGGACTATGGGGAGAAGGAAAATGACCCCATCAATAGTATGGACTTCTACAGCAAGAAAGACCCTACCCAAGTAAACAAAAAGAAAGAACAGGTCAGAACAATGACGACAAAAATCTCAATCTTAATCTTTTTTTTTGTGAGCTTTTGTGTATTTCTTTGTAGGGAAACCTTGGTTATGTATTTTTTATTATATTTATGCTGCTATCATTCTTGTCAGGTGTACAAGCTTCTCCCAGAGTACTTATCTGAGACGCTCGTCAGGGTTTACAGCAGGAAGATTGATCCTGAAAGACTGGAAGCTGCCAGGGAGCACTTGAAACATTGGATCGAAGGGAGGAATGACAATCTTCCAGGTAATATTGATATCTAAGATATTAAAAATAGAATGTATCGAACTGCCTATAGCCGAGTAGTTAGTTGTCAAATCGAAGTCAAATGCCCTGAGCAGCAAATCTTAGTTTGTTTCCTAGTTGGCTGGACCACTTGAGGTGTAAGAAAAACGCTTTAGTTTGATTTGAAAGTCTGGAAAAGGAGATGGCCCGCCTTCTGCAAGTCATTCCGTACTCTCTTTACAAACATATCTGTCTCCACTACAACTGTCAAATAAAGGCATATTGCACCACCATTTTTTAAATAGGTCGTTTTATTAAATGGCAGTGATATTATATCATAGTAGTACAGTATAAAATATGTACAGTATGAGTATTAGTATATGGACATGAGCAGGTAAGGAGGAATAATTACTTTCGTTACATCTTGTCAGATCTCAACGATACAATTGCAGTTTAATTGCACTTTGATCTTGCCTCTGGAGTTAAAACCATCTATGCCTGCTGCTTAATGATTATTTTAATCATTGATTAAGTAGCAATTACTTCCTCAATTAGTTTACTTTTATAATTTGGTCAGTACATGTAAGAAAATGGGGGGAAATGCCTGTAATATGTAGTAAAGACAAAGGTTACGTCTTTAAGTAAAGTGAGAAGCTGGATCTATTTTTCTGTGGAGCTACTAATAATGTAGCTCCACTGTAGACTAGCACCATGCTTCAGTAAAGATAGTTGCAGCTCTGCTCTTGGTAATGCTGATACACTTTTCTTTCTTTATTTACATGCAGTGGAGAGCCACTGTCTCCTCACACAATATTGATGAATCTGAAGTTTTGGAAAATGGAAGTTAAACCTGAAAAAATAAAGAAAACACTTCCTGGCTCTCCTTGGTTCATACTGATTGAAGGTGATCGAGAAATTTGATCAAGTGAGTATGTGACTTAACGACTTAAAAGTGAATGAGGATGCATTATGCATAATTGGGCCACATATGCAGTTTTTAGAGCCCTGTTTAATATTATAAACTAATCTAAGTGCAAATGTGATCATTTTAAATCAGCTTTAATTAAGAATCATTGTTTAATACCATATTATGGCTATTTGAAATGTAATTTTAGGTGTGATTTAGGGATTTTAAATATTTAGTGGTGTTTGTTTAAGATATCCAGCGTGTGAATTAATGTGGTAACCTGATTATATATTCTTTTTTAATTTGATTCATGTTTGATTAAAGATTGTTTTGGGTGTATGTATTTGTTTTTAATCTATCAATATGAAATCAATATCGTTACTATTACCATTATATATTACTATTCATACTGTACTGTAGTTATACAATATAGCTTGCTTCCTTCAATGTAACCATCTGTATGAATGTGGTTAACTTGGGGTATATTTCTGTTTATGGTCATGGTGTGAAAATGTTGTGATTTGTCATCATGGGACTTTTGAGGAAAACCTACAACAATGTTTCAACTTTGTTGCTGTTGAGATTGGGTTAATAAAAAAGTGTTTCTTCTTAATTTGAAATCAATTAAATGTTGTGTTTATTGTGCGTCATTGTGCCATTTTACTCATCCAACATAATAATTCAGCAGCGATTTGAATTCAGTTAGATATAGAGTTGCTTATTCAATTCTTCAACAAGTATCACTAGTACAGATTCTTTTTTTTTTGCACAACCCTGAGGTAATTCATCTAAGGGAATATTTGAAGAAGCGTATCTCACACAGTCTCCATTTAGTACCAAAAATCTACTGATACATAACTCACTCTATTAGAGCTGCAACTATTAACCAAAGTGTAGCTAGCATTTACAATTTCCCTGAAGCCCTTTTCATTTATTGCACTTATTTTTCCTAAATCTTGCCTGTTTGCTTCCTCAACGTGTCTATATTGCAAAACTACCTCTGCTTTATTTCTATACAGGATGCTCATTGCAGGGTTGGGCTATATGACAATATATGTAAAATGTAGCGTGAGACGATGTTAATCTTCCTGCCGTATTGTTTTATGATATTTCCCTTGATTATGACAGTGTGATAATCCTGGATTTAAACCTTACTATGTTATTCATTTCACTGGATGTGTCAAAACAGATGATCCTAACTATTTTATCATTAAACAATTTATAGAATGTATATCATATATTATAAAAAATACAAACCAAAAGAATAGTGTCAATATTGCCTACCCATATTGTACTGCCTTACTTCTACTGTTTTGTTGTTAGTTTGTAGTTTTCCCTTATACAAAATAAGGGCCTAGAGACGATAAGGGAGTATTATGCATGTTACCTTCAAACCAGGTTATGCAGTATGAGCAGTGTATTTCAATGTCATGTTACTTTATACTTCATTACATTTTTAAATCAAATACTGAATTTTTTACTCCTCAACATTTTTCGACAGCTTTAGTTGCTAGTAACTTTGCAGATTCAGAAAATTAAAACAAAATATATAAAATAAACTAGTAAATGATAATGGATTACGTCAACTGGCAATACATAAAGCACAGTTTCCAGCTGCAACATTAATCATCCCATAATCCCCTCTGTTTCAGCCCTCTTACTTTGTCTGTTACTTTAGATGAAAATAAGGAGCCACTCCCCACGCCCCTCTGAGAGATATTTGGTTAAAAAGAACACAATAGTGCTCTAGGAGGAGATTCAGGTGATAAGGTGGGGGGGGGGGGGGGGGGGGGTTACCTTGGATGGTTATTGGCTAATGGTTACACAAGCCAAAAAAATCGTTATGACATCATAAAGTGGCCAAAATCTGATCAGCTTATTTTCAGACAGGTTTTTTTATATAAATGGATCAGGGCAAAAAGAGAGCAAATCTTTTTTCCTGAAACTTTCAGAATCTCTTTACACAGAGGGGACACATGTTTATGTATAAAAGACCTCAAGAAGTGGATTTTTCCTAATAGGTGACCTTTAACTTGGCGATTTACCACTGGATCCCGTCGCGTGTCGATGCTCCTCGCTCCCTCAACACGTGTGTTTCAATGATCCCTCCATTCATACTTTATCACAATAGTTCTACACAGGAATATCGTTTTTAAAAACGCCGGCACTGCATGTCCTCCATCGTCGTCACTGAACGTAATCCGGGGTTTTGGCATCACTTCTCTGGCCTCATTCGCTGCACTATATTTGGCTCCACCTTCCGCGTGCTACGCGTCAAGTTCTCTACAAGCAGCGAACAATTTACCGGAAGCGAAGTGTTGAAATAAAATCATAAAACAGATTCAGGTTCTCAAGCTGATCAACAGCACATTTTTATAAAAGCAAAAAAAGTCCAAAAATAAAAATAGTGCAAAGAGGGAGTATTATGTATGTATAATATAAGTAAACGTATGAAGCTTAATGTAATAGTTTAACTACTTTAATGATATATGGTCACTTTAAAAGAAAAACAAATACACTGCTACTTTTTTACCATGATGTTCTTATCTGCTATTAGTGGGGGTTTTTTTACCGATGGTGTTCTTTTATTATTAATTACGTGTGCATACTTAGTTAATTTTGAATGTGTAACGTCTTTCTCCTCACTTTATCTGCACTTTCTGTTGTAATAATGTATATTCCGGGACAAATAAAGGAATTCTGATTCTGATTTAATCACGGTTCCAAAGGCTTTTATTTTGGAATTATCAAGCGGAAACCGTTTCTGTGTTTCAGTTTTTGTTGACGCCCCCGGTGTAGAAACAAAACCCGGGTATTTTTCACCGCCAGACTGTCTTCTGTGCAGATCTACTCGATCAGCTGGTGGAGTCGACAAGGGAAAGATTACCGGCTGTAATCTTTCAGGGTTTTACTCTTCTGACTAAAGCAATTCGCCGCGAGTCTATCGGACCAATATGGAGAACCGAAAACGGCAGTTGGAGGCAGTTGTGACCGACAACCACTGCTTCAAAACGCCGGAGAAAAGGGTGTCATTGGTCCGGCTGCTGGACTCCGACTACATGCGATGGGGAGTGGAAGATACATGTCAGTACCTGCGAAGAGAAGATCTCGTAGAGTGGGAAGATATATTTAAAGGTTAGTTTCTGGGTTCTTTAATAAACGGTTGTTCACCTTGTTGTTGATATTAATACAGTAGATCAGTTGATAGCTGCTTCTAAATTATGCTAACTTGCTGTCCTGTGTGCAGTCAGTGGTGTAAAGTAACTAAGAAGATGTACTGTACTCGAGTTCAATGTTGAGGGGACCACCACTATTCATTTAATACCTTGTCGTTACTTGGCAGATTTGGATTAATAATTTGAAATATAATCAACACATAAATAAGACTTTAATTACACCTGGAGTAACATCTAGCTACCCTGCAGTATACACAGTCATTAAAACTAGCTGCACCTTTACCAGCTTTGATAAACACATTAATGCATCAATAATTATAATCAAAACGTATCATATATATTATTCTAAAATGGACCAATCTGCATAAGGAGTACATTTAACTTGTGTTACTTTAAGTATATTTTGATGCAAATACTTTTTGTAATTTTACTTGAGTAAGATTTTGAATACAGGCCTTTTGTAACATAGTATTCCTACACTCTGGTAGTTCTACTTTTACTTAAGTCCAAGATCTGAATACTTCTCCCACCACTGTTAAAGCTTTATTTGTATAGCATTTTTCATACACCAGGTGCAGCTCTAAGTGCTTTTACAACATGGCGGCCCACATCATAAATTAAAACAAAAAAAAGAAATTATCTTCCCGTCAAACGTTAAAACCCTTTTGCACACACGCAGCATAACAAGATAATACAACAGTTCAAGGGACACATGGAGGTAAACGGTGTGATAATACAATACAATAAATGATCCCTCTCTGCAAAATAAAGGAAGACATTAGACAAAATGAATAAATAAATAAATACAATAAAATATTAAAACATTAATTGTGTTTCCCCTGTGTTTTCTAGCACAAAAGATCACAGGTGTTGGGCTGCGGTATCTCAGTGACTCTGATCTGGAGAAGATTGGTATAAAGTAAGTGTGTGTTTGTGTTAATTTGTGGGATTTGTGAAAATTGTCATGGGCACAGTGAGAAATGGGACCAAAAGGCCACTAACACTTGTGTCAAAGTAAACATAAATTACTTCTCTAATAACGATGCTGTTTCTTTCTCAATTGTTGATCCGGTGTTGCCCAGGTGCCTTGGTGACCGTCTGAAGATCCTTCATAGCTTCAGGAAGCTGTGGCAGATAGGAGCAGAGCCAAATAAGGTAACTACCAGCTGAATTGTGCTGAATTTGCTACATTTCAAGGCCAAAGGGATAAAGAAGACATAATAAGAAAAAAGAGAAGCACTTGTAGGATAAACAGAAAGGAAGTGTGAAAAGACACAAGGGTGCACAAAATACTTCCTCCTAGCCCATATTTGTTCTCAACCCATACCTCAAAAACAGAATGTGAAAATAACACAAGCTGCAAATAAGCTTAAGGGGAACATTGTGAAATGAAAACCGACCGGTTTGTCCCTTTTTTTGGAAATGTCAGACACACCTTACTTCCTGCTATTTAAACCATCGTTATACCTTGTCAATAGATTTTTACATTGTAAAGACTTCTTTTAACTTTAGTTTGTGAAATCTATTTATATATTTATATCATTTTCTGTCCATGTGTTTTGTTGAAAAATGGCTTCAAACCATCGTACCACCCTAAGATAAACACACAGACTGGCTATATATTTTGATTAGGAATGGTATCGTTCGGTCTTCTTTCAGGTGTTTAATGATCCTATTCACGGGCATGTGGAGTTGCACCCTCTTCTCGTCAAAATCATCGACACGCCTCAGTTCCAGAGACTACGAAACCTCAAGCAGCTCGGAGGGACCTATTATGTTTTCCCCGGAGCATCCCACAACCGGTTTGAACACAGCATTGGGTACGTGTTTGGTGGGTTTATTTAATAGGGTTTATAATGAGGCATCAATAAAACTCGTATCATAGAATCATAGGCTCATATAAAACCACATTAACTGGCAAAGCATTGAGTCACCAAAGTGACAAATAGAGATAATAAAAGGAAACTGACGAATATAAAACACAATATTTCTCTCAGTAATCTTTTAATCTGGATTTATATTAGGGACATTGCCCTCATCGGATATTATATTGCACTGGCCAAGAGTGCATGTCATGGGGAAAATACCCGCCTTCTGTCCCTTCCCCTCCTATTGGGAATAGGCTTTCTATACACTTGTATTGTGAAAAAGATACCTGCCAATATGTTGACAAGAGATGTTGTCTATGTTAGAAAGGATAGGCTGACATTAGAATCAGTTTTCCGTTATTAGTCCCACAGCAGGGAAATCAGTGTTACAACCCAACATGGCATGGCAGACAAAAAGGCAAGCAATAATAAACAGAGAAGCAAAGCACACATTAATAATACAATTAAATAAAGGCAAGTTAGTACACTGCCAGGGCTAAAAAGGGACTAGCAGCAATTTTAAAAAAATTACTAAATAACATACTGTATTAAAGTATTGAGACTTTCTAAAAAGGAAATGTTGGTACTTTTATAAAAATGTGTGATGAATGATATGAATATATTTCAACATACAATCGTTAAAAATCGTTACAATTGTGTTTAATTTGTAGTTTTTTTTTTAAGGTGCTACATGCATGAAAATTGTGTAACCAAATGTTACATAAGGTTTCACTAACATGTCTTTATCTTTATATAGTTAATTTTTAGTTATGGTTTGTTGAACTCTTACTGTAAATCTGCATTGTTTTATTGTGTGCTGCTACAGAGTGGGACACTTGGCAGGGCGGCTCGTAGAAGCTCTGAACGAGAGGCAGCCAGAGCTCCTCATCTCTCGCAGAGACATCCTTTGTGTGCAGATCGCTGGGCTCTGCCATGACCTGGGTGAGTGATGTTCAGGTGCTCACATAATTCAGGTTTAAGTTGGGCATGAGGGAGAATGCAAGTTAAACTCTTCCCTTTTCCTGTCTATTCCCCTCGGAATAACACACAAGAAGCTTAGTGCAAAGTTCACACATGTCACATTCAATAGCTTTTTAATGTAACCCCCCATTCCAACCCCTATCCAGGTCATGGGCCATTCTCCCATATGTTCGACAGCAAGTTCATCCCCAGAGCACGTCCAGGAATTTCCTGGAAGGTAAGAAACAATCAGATTTATTTTTCTCTTTTCTTTTGCCGTATGCATTGAGGGTAAAGAAAACAATGAGGCAAAATAAGAACACTTCTCTGGATTAGTTTTGTACAAGCCTTCATATTTTTATTTCCAGTTATTACTGACAAAGGCAGATTGTCTAAATCCACTTTTTCGCAGTTTAAGAAAATGCAGACCGTCTGGGGAAGTCACTTCTAGACATCTTAATAACTCAAATCTGAATTTCTGAGGTTTAAAACCTGTGTTGTGATTTGTCAGAAAATGATTTGGCACTCAAGTATAAAATAAAAACCCTTTAAATCACAGTTTCAACTTACAAGTCCAGCCGCGCTTATCAACTGAACTGAGCTACCACAAAGAATCTTAAAAAAAACCTTGTTTGGTCACATCTCGAAACAGAACATTCCTTGCTTTTAAAATAGGTTGGTTGAAAATAGGAACAAATGGAAGAGTCAGACTGCAGATAATAACTACCTTCTGTGCAATTTAACACAATCTACTGCAAAGTAAGGAATTCTTTACATCAAAATAAACTTGAGTCTGATAGATTTTTGTCTAAGTCTAAAATAAGTGATAGGTAAAACCCTAAACTCCTTTGTTGGCACTAACTCCAAGGACACTGTCTCCCCAGTTTCATTCTTACTTTATTTTGGTTGATTGGTTTATAGTTATAGTAGTAAAATAAAGTTAACAATGGCATGAAGATACAGCAATCAAAAGCTTGTTTTTCAGTGGCTTATTGTAAGCCGTTACAATGTCATTTGTCTTCAGTAGGCCATTTGAGGGCTTAGATATCGATAGCACTTCTGCCCTTTCACACCAACGCGTTTTCAGCGCCGGCTCGGAGCTAGAGCCTAAAAAGTACCGGTTTTTCCTGTTCACACCCCAGCGGCGCCGCCTCTTAGCTCCGGAATCCGGTTCACTTCCAGCTCCAAAAAATTGTCGGCCTAGAAGCAAGAGCTTCGGAGCTAAGAGGCGGCGTCGCTTACGTCTCTCTTACGTCGAGGCGTGCAGGAAACTAAACCCACCTCCCCCTGAACATGGGTCGACTGAAGAGTGAGAGTCTCGTCATGCCTGCCTACAAGCAGTAGCGCTGAGCAAAGTGACTAGAAGGCAACCACACACTTATAAAAAAAAACACACTTTATAAAGTCAGGCAACACTAACCAGGCTTCGTGTGATTCTGTTTATTTGTACCTTACTTTGACCATCCGTTCGCTGTTATTGATCATTGTGGAGAGCAGGCAGACGTTTTGTTTTTTATTATAGCAGCTATCGGATGGAATCAATACATGGGCTGCACAGGTTGTCATGTCCGACTATCACAAGTAGAATCATAATGAAAAATACGCCGGTAAAATGTGCCTGTAGAAAACGGCTTGGCAAGTAGTCAGTTTAGCTTCGGTTGCTATGCTAACATCACCCATGTTATACCAGAGAAACTTTCATAACAGCGTTGTGATGCCAAACAGCGTCAATTCAGACTGACACCAAACAGCGTCAATTCAGACTGACACACATTCACTTAAGGGGAACTGGGGATATGTATCAGCTGCTTGTGTGACAGTCAGACAGTGAATACTTTAGAGCCGTGTGAGCTAACCCGGAGCTAACGGGAGAATAAACTCCCGTGGAAGAGCAGCCAGCACTGCAGCGGTCGGTAAATGCCGCTGAAACACATTAATAAACAATGAACCACGGCACTCTGGAGAAAAGTATAAGGTTGGAGAAGTCGTTATTTAATTTAATCTGGCTTCGTATGATTAAAAGCAACACGATCATCGACCCGACGCAGTCCCCCGTTGTTGTTGTTGTTGTTGTGAGCTCCGTTGGGGAGAAAATCAGCGATGTAAACGGTGACATCATGACGCAGCAGCGGCAGCTCTGGGCGGTGTGAACAGAGCGAGAGCAGAAAAGGGAAACCGGAGCTGAACCAGAAAAGCTCTAGCTAGGAGCTAGAAAGGGAAAAGCGCTGGTGTGAAAGCCGCAACAGAGTGAGAAGTCTTATCACTGATAAGAACTAGAAGGCACACTTGTTATTATGTAAGTTATGACCACACACCTGGCATCCAGCAACCGTGAGATTAGATAAGTGTCCTGTCATGTTTTAGTTGCGATAAGCTCTTTCGATGTGAGTAATGAGTCATGTGCTTTCACTTTCAAAGTGAGACCATGCACATTTCCATATTAACAACAGCCTGTTTGTGTTACAGCATGAGAACGCCTCTCTGAGCATGTTCGACTACCTGGTGAAGGATAATGGCCTGAAGCCGGTGATGGAGCAGCACGGCCTGGTGCTGCCCGAGGACCTGGACTTCATTAAGGAACAGATTGCTGGACCACCGAACTCTGTTTCAGTTCAAGACCAGAAGGTAGTTCCACTTCTGCCCGTGTGAAATAAGCCAATGAAACAGCCACTGTGTATAAAGCAGGGGTGTCCAAACTACGGCCCACGGACCATTTTGAATCGGCCCTCAGCAAATTAAAAAAGCATAATAGAATATGGACCACAAATGAAACTTGTGCTTGTCTTATATTGTGCTTCTTAAATATAAATGTAAAAATATATTACACAGTAGTATTCATGTGTTAATAAAACCACTTTTCAAATAAATTCAGTCAATTAAAGTTGGAAACATTTTCTAACGTATCTCAGTTGATAAGAAAAAAAGCCCAATGACTTATTTACATATCAAGCTTGAAATACACCCTTCCTATTTCTCCTTATTATAATCAATCTGAGGTTTCTGTTTCTAAGGGATGAGCTGTCAACACTCACAATCATAATTTACCTACATTTGATTGATTTTGCTAATTTATGAGGCAATATACCTCTAGGGAGTGGCCCAGCCGTGTGTGTGTGTGTGTGTGTGTGTGTGTGTGTGTGTGTGTGTGTGTGTGTGTGTGTGTGTGTGTGTGTGTGTGTGTGTGTGTGTGTGTGTGTGTGTGTGTGTGTGTGTGTGTGTGTGTGTGTGTGTGTGTGTGTGTGTGTGTGTGTGTGTGTGTGTGTGTGTGTGTGTGTGTGTGTGTGTGTGTGTGTGTGTGTGTGTGTGTGTGTGTGTGTGTGTGTGTGTGTGTTGTGTGTGTGTGTGTGTGTGTGTGTGTGTGTGTGTGTGTGTGTGTGTGTGTGTGTGTGTGTGTGTGGTGTGTGTTGTGTGTGTGTGTGTGTGTGTGTGTGTGTGTGTGTGTGTTGCTCATTCATCTTAACCTCATAGTAGGAGCTACGTGATACATGTGTTTATCTTCTATTTTCTTAGCGCTGCGTACAAACAATGAAAGCCAGTTGGAACCAGAGTTAAATATGTGTACGGTTAAACATACTTGGGAAAATAAAGCTGGTTCTGATGTCACTTTTATCTGATCTCTCCACAGTGGCCATATAAAGGCCGTCCAGAAGACAAGTCCTTCCTTTATGAAATCGTGGCCAACAAAAGGAACGGCATTGATGTGGACAAATGGGATTACTTTGCCAGGTGGGGCTTGCTGAGCTGTTAGTTCCTTTAATAATAATGTTCCAAGTGATACATCAATATTCTTTTTTTTGTATTTTAACTAATCAACTTTTTTGTACACATTCCTGACCTCTGTTTCCTTAGGGACTGCTACCACCTGGGCATCAAGAACAACTTTGACCATGGCCGCTTCATAAAGTTTGCCAGGGTGTGTGAGGTGGACGGGCAGAAGCACATCTGCACTAGAGACAAGGTGCTGACTTTGTAACATCTGCTTTTTGATCAACTGCAATCCATTTAGACGATTAGTTGTAACGTGCAGGTCATTCTTTTAACAGGAGGTGGGCAATCTGTATGACATGTTCCACACGAGGAACTGTCTCCACAGAAGAGCCTACCAGCACAAAGTGGGCAACATCATAGAGACTATGTGAGTAGCTAATCGCTCTGATGTAGATTGCTGTCTTTGCTTGACAATTTAGTTGTTTTTACGGATAATTGTGGTGGAAATTTGAATCGATCTCAAATGCAGGAACAGAGCAACTTCGTCCTCAGAGGATGAAGAGGTTCTGCACCACGAACACAGCTAACAGTCCCACCATAAAGAAGAAAGGAAGCAGCCAACTAAACCTTACCATAAATTCCCTTAGACATTATCTAAACATTCCCACCATTAAACCATAAAACCCTCCAGTCCTTAACCATTTGCAAATCCACCTCTCACCCACCTCTAACCCTTCTGGCATGTCCATTCTAAACAAATGTCTATGGTCCACACACATAGGACATACATTCAATTTAACAGAGTAAAAGGCAATCAGAGTGTAAGACATAATATATATACTTACTTACTCACTTGTCCACATCAATGCCTTTCCTTTTGTTGGCCACGATTTCATAAAGGAAGGATTTATCTTCTGGACCGCCTTTTTATATGGCCACTGTGGAGAGATCAGATAAAAGTGACACCAGAACCAGCTTTATATTATGTCTTATAAATGATTATATGATCATTTGACACAACAATAATATGTTGGGTATGGTTATCCAGGATCACAGAAGCCTTTTTAAAGGCAGACAAGCACATCCAGATTGAAGGCTCCGGAGGGAGGAAGTTCACCCTCTCCACAGCCATAGATGACATGGAGGCCTACACCAAGCTGACAGGTCAGCAGAAACCACTGTGTGCACATTTAAAATATAGCTGCAGTATATTAAGAGCTGCAGGATCAAGTCCTAAAGCTCAGTGGGCTTTCGGAGGCCTGGAATCCAATCTGTTGTTAAGTTTACAAGAGTTTTACGTTTTGTTCTAGTCATGCAACCGTGGGGTTTTTCAATTACAATGTTCATTTCTGACAAATATCTTGCTGATCAAAACTTGTTTTTTATTATGTTATTGCATTATGGTGCATTGTGTTCTTCAATTAAGTATCTACCCATTAACTTACTTACTTACTTTCTTAGTGTTTATGTTTCACTATATTTGACTACACACTCTACACTCCCTGTTTTGTGACATCCACATTCATAAAGTATAAATAAAGAACTAGTGACTTTTGTGTCTTAGGTTTGCTTTATGTTACCTGTCATATTCTTCTGTTTGGCCTGTAGATCATGTGTTTGAAAGAATTCTCCACTCTTCCTCTCCGGAGCTGGCTGAGTCGAGGCAGATTCTACGCAACATCGTCTGTCGACGCCTCTATAAATGTCTGGGCCAAACTCAGGCAGAGCAACCCTTGAGTGTCACCCCGGTGTGTGTATATATAGCATTTAGGAGCTAGTTGTTTTGTGAGTGTTCTGAGATGCTTTTCAGTTGCCATGTAGGGCTGCAGCTAACAATATTTCCATTATTGATTCATCCATCATACGTATGTTTGAGGTATGATCTTTTTAATTAGTTCATTATAGGGTCTAAAACAATGTCAGAATATGTGGGAAAATGCACTTTCACAGAGGCAGAGGTCTTCAAACTTCAAGCTTCATTTGTCCAACAAAATAAATAAAAGATAAAAAAAGAGAGCAGCATTTTATCCTTGCTTTTGAGAAGCTGCAACCAGCAAATTTAAAGACATTACAACAATAAACTGTTTATCAAAAATGTTGACAATTAATTGTCACGAACTTGGATACACAAGGGAAAAGGACTCAAATGCACAACCCGGGAGCCAGAGGTAAAGTATAAGTAATATACTTTATTTTCCAAAAAGGTATACAAAAAGAAAATAACACTCTTAACGAGGTGACAGAAAGGCTCCAATAAGGCACAACAAAAATCGCTCACAACGTGAGGAACAAAACTTACAAAAAGTTTCAGGAGCATAAATCAGGCTTGTGACAAGATAAGCATTCGCTGATGAGCAGAGTACTGGCATGAGGACAGGACAAGACGAACTGACAAACAACAAGGGGAGACTAGGGAATTTAAGCAAGAGGTAATTGGGCACAGGTGGAAACAATCAGGGGCTGGCGCTGATGAGCGCGGGAGACACACACAAGGGTAGGGAGTCAAGGAACCTGGAATGAAATGTAACAGTTGAGTGTCAAAACAGGAAGTGGGAGGCAATACAAGAATTGACTAAACAACATGAAACGTGACTGACTCAACACTTTTGACGGTACTCAACAGTAATGATCTCTTGAATGGTAAATTAACTAATAATTTCAGATGATCTTCCGTAAAAGTACTACAAAAGTACTAGATTTTGTTGATGGATACTGCAAAATAGATTACAAAGATTAGATTCGAGCTCAGAAGTTGTGCATCTAATGGTTGAATTTATATAATTTGAAATAGCCTTCATTGATATGATACCGTTATTATATATGTCCAAGGGTAATGTAATGTTATGTCCCTGCTAATATAAAATATGTATTATTCTTCACTTATCTACTTTTTGCTCCCCTTCAGGAGACAATTCGCAAATGGGAAGAAGATCTGGCTAAATCCCTCCGTCAGAGCTGCTCTAAGGATGGCAGGCTGCAGCCGGAGGACTTTGTAGTTAGTGTATGTTTTTGATCTAATTTCTAACATTCTTTATTTATATACTATTGTTATGAATTGTAGCTACTTTGTATATATCTTAAGATGTGAGTCTTTCTACACGTTAAGAAGATATAACCCTCCTTTTCCCTTTAGGTCATCTATATGGACTATGGCATGAAGGATAAGAACCCCATCAACAATGTGCGTTTTTATTGCAAAGATGACTCGTCCAAAGCCATCCAGATCCGCAAGAACCAGGTCAGAACTGTAGGAAGTACCTCAGAATTCAAATCTTGAACCGTCTTTGCCTGTGTTTTGTTTTTTTGTCATAGGTGTTTGTCATTGCTTCTGTCTGAAATGTATGTCTCGAAGTAAACTGTCATTCTTGCCAGGTGTCTAAACTTCTCCCAGAGCAGTTTGCTGAGCAGCTCATCAGGGTTTACTGCAAGAAGACCGACGACAGGAGTCTAGAGGCTGCCAAGAAACACTTTGTCCAGTGGTGCATCAACATGAACCTCTCAAAGCCTCAGGTACTATTTAATCGGACGTGATAATAAATGTGTATGTTGGTTGTTGAACATGAGTTAGGTAGTTTGCCTATACCATAAACTGAAAGGACAAACAATTATAATAAGATAAGATATACCTATAATAGTGTTAGGCACAAGTAGCCCTTAGCCCTGTTAAGCTGCATTGTGAATACATTATGTTAAGCTGCTGTATGACACTGCAGACTGAAGAGGGAGCAACAACAGTTGGTGGTCATGTGCTGATTTAAGAGATGGTTTTCAAAGCACTGAGAAATGTTTTATGTGGTAGGAAATACATCTAGCATGTTGTATGAGGCCTTAAATATATGTTATGTAAAGAACTGCACAGGTTAATTATTCATGTAGAAGTAGTGTTTGTTTCAATTTCATTTTGTAATTTTTTGCATGGACTTTTTTCATGATTTGTAGGCCGGGACTTCTCTGCAGCACTCAAATTACTTATTTAAGAACAGTATTTGAAGGTATTATTTGCCTTAAACAAATATTGTACCTCCTGCAATTTGGATATTGCACTACTTTTTACCAATTCCAATCAAATACAGTTTATCCAGGGCTCACCTAAAGAAGGGCATTAGGAAGGCCAAGCACTGCCACAAACTGAGGATTGAGGAGCACTTCAATAACTCCGACCCCTGAAGAATGTGGCAGGGCATTCAGGCCATCACTGACTACAAACCCACCACCCCCTCTCTTCCGTCAAACGACGTCTCCTTCCTCAACGAGCTGAATCCTTTCTATGCTCTCTTCGACAGGGACAACTAGGAGACAGCCACTAATGGCGCGTTTCCACTACAGCGCGGAGCACGGTTTAAGAGGGCTGTGACGTCAGCGGCCCGTCTTTGGTTGCGTTTCCACTTGGCCTAGTACCGGCCGGCGGGTCCTAATTCACAGTTTTTCTGGCCTCATAAAATCGCGGGTCCAGGGCCAGAGACAACGAGGCTGAGTCGGGCTGAGTATGCTAAACTAGAGAGAGGAGCGCTGGCAACGGGGCTACAACTACAACAAGATGGACATATTTGACCGTGATTTAATTGTAATACACGTTTCTAAATGATGCCGAAGTAACAACATACTGATACCGGTTAGTAAAAACCATGAATTAATGCTTTGTCAAGTCTGCAGACAGACGGCAGGCGAAAAACCTTTTAAAATGCGTGTGTTCTAAATGGAGATTGGCTAAGCTAACGCAGTATATGCTCCGACCGTCCACACTCACAACAACGGCCTATACAGACATAAATAAAGCAGCGACTGTATTCGCCATGACACAGGCAGTCTGTGGTTTGTACTTGTTTAACTTTTGTCTAGTTTCTGAACATATATGAGAAGCTGTGAGCTCTGAGTGCTAACAGCTAACGGCTGTGTTGTTTTTCTGGGGTTTTCTGAAGATCACGTCACGGCTCCGCCTACACTGCGTTACTATAGATACTACCCCAGTTCCTAAACTGTAATGGAAATGCGCCATAAAGTGAGCCAGTCCTAACGAGGCCCAGCCATACCGAGCGGGGCCGAGCGAGGCCGTGTAGTGGAAACGCGCCATAAGGCTGTTCCCCCTGCAGACCACTAGCCCCTCACACTCTCACCTTCTGACGTCTTCACCACACTGAGCAGGATTAATGCACGCAAGGCTGCTGGACCCGATGGCATCCCAGGCCGCGTTCTCAGGGCCTGTGCTGGGCAACTGACTGAGGTCATGACGGACATTTTCAACCTGTCCCTAGCCCAAACTGTTGTCCCCACGTGCTTTAAAACCACCGCCATAGTGCCAGTGCCCAAACACTCTGCTGCAGCAGGCCTGAATGACTTCCATCCCGTTGCACTTACACCCATTCTCATGAAGTGCTTCGAGAAGTTGGTCCTAGCACAGCTTAAATCCCACCTATCACCGACACTGGACCCCCATCAATTTGCATACCGGACTAATAGGAGCACGGAAGATGCTGTTTCCATAACACTTCACACCGTCCTCTCACATCTGGAAAAAACCAACTCCTATGCAAGACTGCTGTTCATCGACTTCAGTTCAGCCTTCAACGCCGTCATCCCCTCCAAACTAATCACAAAACTCAACGACCTGGGCATCGACGCCCCCCTTTGTAATTGGATTTTAGACTTTCTAACCAACAGACCCCAGCATGTCAGGTTGGATAATCTCTCTTCCATGACCCTCAGCCTAAATACCGGTGTCCCACAAGGCTGCGTGCTGAGCCCCCTCCTCTACTCCATCATCACCCACGACTGTACACCTGTACATGATTCAAACACCCTCATCAAGTATGCAGATGACACAACGATGATCGGCCTCATCCACAACAACGATGAGACGGCCTACAGGGAGGAAGTTCAGCATCTGACTGAGTGGTGTGCCGACAATAACCTGGCCCTCAACACAACAAAAACAAAATAACTCATTGTGGACTTCTGGAAATCGAAAGGCAACACACACACTCCCATCCACATAAATGGAACGGCGGTGGAGCGTGTGTCTAGCTTCAAATTCCTGGGGGTCCACATATCCGATGACCTCTCATGGTCCAACAATACCACCAACATAGTAAAGAAGGCTCACCAGCGTCTCTTCTTCCTGAGGAGACTAAAGAAAGATCACCTCTCTCCTCAGATTCTGGTGAACTTTTATCGCTGCACCATTGAGAGCATCCTGACCAGCTGCATCACAGCCTGGTATGGGAACTGCACAATGCTCAACAGGAAGGCATTGCAGAGGGTGACGAAAATCGCCCAACGCATCATCGGTGTCCCACTCCCTGCCATCGAGGACATCCAGGGGATACGGTGTTTGCAGAGGGCGCACAACATCTTCAAAGACACCTCTCATCCTGCAAACCATCTGTTTGTCCTCCTACCCTCGGGGAGGTGCCTCAGGAGCCTCCGGTCCAAGACCAGCAGGTTCAGGGTCAGCTTCTTCCCCAGGGCTGTTACCCTGCTGAACTCTGCTCCCTGATAGACTCAAGCCCATACCCACCACCCACCTGTTTTATATATTTTACTGTCAATGCCGTTTACACTGTATATATTCATCTGTTTATAGCCTATTTATAATTATTCTATTTATAATAATTCCATGTATAATTATTCTCATTATGTAGACTCCTGCACTGCTATTTTGCACTTCTGGTCAGATGCCGATACTTACATTTCGTCACTAGTACATGTACTACGTAATGACAATAAAGTTGAATCTGAATCTGAAATGATCAGAATCAGAATTCCTTTATTCGTCCCGCAAAGAGGAGATTTACATTGTTACTGCAAAGTATAGATACAGATACAGAACACTATTATATAACAAGGCATGCACATCATATTTAAAGAAAATTATGACACAGTAGAGTGCTGGTGTCTGACATTAGTACAATTATTATTGCACATAGTTACGTAAAGATTCCTGTTACAGTAATGGGTGGACTAACTAGGAGTTACTAGCATTATAATTAATTGTTAAGCATTGTGTTTTCTTGCAAGGCCAAATTGGATGGAAGGAGGCGGCAGGCTTAGATGGAAATGCTTCAAATTTACATTTCCTTTTGAGAATGCAGTATTTGGTATCCAATATGTTTTCTCTTCTTCTTCTCCTTCGCAGGATGGAGACATAATAGCACCTGAGCTGACGCCTCAGAAACCCAGCTGGTCGAACAACAATGAGGGCGAGGGCAGTGAGAGTGGCGGCTCCACGGAGGTAAACTGTGCTACTGTGAATGGACAGAAGAAAGCCAAAGTTCAGCTGTTTAAATGAGTTTCTACGACCAAATAAATTGTTTCCAACTATAAAGATAGTTGTTACATACTAAGGGCCTTTACTCAGGGTTTTTACACAGATCACTCAATATCATACACATCTTTGTTTTAGTTTGATCATTTTTAATCAGGTTTTTATTTTGGACTCTTAACATTTGAAACTTGGGGTCAAGTTTTAAATTGGTTTATTGTTTTCTACTATCATGCCTGTGTGTTATGATCAATAAATCATGGTCAATTTGAATGTTTTACTCTGAACATGCGCACAGTATATTTCAGGGCAGCATTTGATTACAGCATCCAACAACATTGTGTTTTCTTTTCACAAAACTACCAGGGTTGAGTACGTTACAGCTGCTGTCAGAGGTTTCTGTGAGCACACAGATTCTGACATCTAAAGTGAGCATTTGTTTTAACCTCACTTTGGTTTGACCTTTCTTTGAAATATATGTATTTAAGTTCTGGTTGAGTGTGTTGTGCCGTGCTTTATTTATTATTCTTACAGTAAGTAGCTAAAGTTGTTCATTAGGGTTTTTTTCAAGTTATTGATCTGTGTAACATTTACATAAATGGGATTTTTGATACCATCTAAACATGTTTCCCCCTTCAAAATGTGATGTGATCTTTCCTCATAGCTGGTTGTTTTATTTTGCTGATTGTGTAAAAAAAAAAAACAGTGCTAGTGGGAAATTTACCAAGGGAAAAAAAAAAAAACATTTGTATTCCTATTGAAAGGAGTTGAAAAGTGAAAGTGAAAATAAAACTCTTTCTCTCAGATGTTTTCTCATGCAAGTACATTTTTTGAACACCAGAGGGCATCATGTTCCAGTATTTAGTAAGCATTGACATTTATGTCATCAACGTGTTTCCGTAAAGTTGAGAATACAGGTGCACTCTCATTTTAGGGGTGCGTAAATTTGCCCTGCAGCTTGGCAATGCATGGCAGATATTCATAACCTTAAATGAAATAAACAGATTTTTTTATTTAAAAAATGTGTTTATATTCCAAATCTTACTTAAGTAATGGTACAGCACTAGGAGTATGCATTGTAAAGAAAACTGTCCACATAAGTGTACATTATATTATCATTCCTCACTGTTTAATTTTACTGTTGTTCTATAGTTTTTGGTTGAGTTTTTGGCGGAGGTGGAAAGTAACAGTGCATTACCTTGAGTACTGAGGTAACTTTTTTGAGGTTATTTTACTTTACTTGAGTATTTCCATTTAATGCTACTTTATACTTATATTCACTACATTTAAAAGGGAAACAATGTACTTGTACATTTATTAAACAGCTTTAGCTACTTTAAACAAAATGCATCTCTAATAATAAAACTACTATATGTAAGTTACTAAACAGTACAATTATTTAACTATATTACAAAAAGTCTCAAAACTTAAATGCTACTTGATGCAACAATATGATTTAATATGTAATGTATATAGTTCAATATTACACCTGAAAGCCAGTAAAATGTATTACTACTTTTACTTTAAAATGTAAGACTGCCACTAGTTTTTCATGTAAAGTCTTAAACTAAAATGTTCCACTTAAGCTTCAAATCAAAGAGTGTGTGTATATATACACATTGATATTTTCTTATATGCGCATATGATTTTTGTGTTAAGTATACTTAAAACAAAAAGTAAGGCAATTTGTGTTTGGTAGATGATTTCTATAACAATGCTTTTTGGCAATAAATCTTATACCGTTGGAAAGCCTGTTTTCTTACCCTTCCAATGGTTCTTCCACACGCTACTGAGGCTGCTTGTTAAATGAATCAATTGTTAATAAATCAATTGTTACCAATATGTCTTTATTTATCAGACTTCAATCCACCAAACAACACCCAACTAGAGTCGGCAGCAAAAAAAGCTGTTTGGCATTGGCAGAGGAGATCTGTCAGATTTGTCATGGGCGCACCCCACATACTCAGCTCTGCTGCTCATCCCACAAATGCTTGTTCCTCACAAATGTGGTACCATTGGAAAGGTAAGAAAACAGGCTTTGCAACGGTATAAGATGTATTGCCAAAAAGCATTGTTACAAGATAGAAATCATCTACCAAACACAAATTGCCTTACTTTTTGTGTTAAGTTTATATATATATATAAATATTTCCTTTTTTAAATGTTGTGTCCCAAAAATTGGAAGGAATGTTTAAAGGGTTTGTTAAGAGTAAATGTTACAATGCTGCAAAAAACTAATTTAACGATTTCCAATAATGTAAATCCAATGAGAAGCTTGTTCTTGTTCAGTTAGGACAGGGGTGTCCAAGCTATGGCCCGGGGGCCAAATGCGGCCCGCAGGCCATTTTGAATCGGCCCTCAGCTAATTAAAAAAGTGTAATGAAATATGGCCCACAAATGAAACTTGTGCTTGTTTTATATTGTACTTCCTAAATGTATATGTACAAATATATTGCACAGTATTCATGTCATCCCACTTTCCAAATAAATTCAGACAATTCAAGTTGAAAACATTTTCTAACAAATCTAAGTTTGCCCAATAACTTATTTACATAACAAGCTTGAAATAAACCTTTCATATTTCCTCTTATAAGCAATCTGAGGCTTCTGTTTTAAGGAATGAACTGCAAACAAGATAAATGAAACCCGATGGTGAGCTGTGTAGGCCGTTTTTTAAAGCATATTCAAGTATCAATCACAATTTTCCAAAATGTGATTGATTGTGCTAACTTATAACTTAACCTGATAAGGCGATATACCTCACCTCTAGTCAGCCCTTCGTATATTTTTCTGGATGTGGCCCTCGGTGAAAAAAGTTTGGACACCCCTGAGTTAGAGAATGAGACTGATTCTCAGATAGTAATCCTGTAATAACACTTCTTCCACACCAGAGGGCGTCATACACTTGTGTTGTCCACTACTTTAGAGATGGACCAGGGACTGAGACACAGCTCGAATCTGGTGAAAGATGATGGATAACTTAATGATGCAATTAAAATGCCACCTGCAAAAACTGCAGGTTTGTTGCTTCAATTTTGGAAAAAAATCCAATGTTTATCTGTCAAAACTTTATATTATTATTGTAAATACATTTCATTAAGGGGTTTGTGGGAGAACAGGAACTTGTTTTACTGGGATTTTCTTCATTTGTTTCATTATTTTGATAATTGTACCTTTTAAAATGATGTATGTGATCTGTCAGCTACATATTATACTCTAAAATATACATTGATATTTTCTTATATGCGCATATGATTGATAAAAACACATGGGATGAGTCCATGTTACTCAACCAGAAAAGTTCTGACAGGATGTATGCAGAAGCTCAGCACCCCAATGCAATGCAGGCACATACACACACACACTCAGTCATTCACATCCTGTGGCACAGTGGCAGGCATGGATTTCCAGCACACACACTCACACTGTGCGCCGGCAGGACCAAGGCCAACTGCCTGCTAGTATTTTTATAATCTTCATCCTCCCTGACCTGTTGCTCCCCTCCTGGCGCCAGTGGTCTCAGCCCTCCCCCTGCGATGCCTCAACCTTACAGACACACACACACACACACACACACACACACACACACACACACACTTGCAAACACACATGCTCCTGTACACTCAGCAGCCCCTCCACGGATAATTGAGACCAGCTGTTGCAAGGTGCCTCTTCCCTCGACCCTGCACCCCTCCCTCACCCTGCCGCTGCTGCACTTGCCTTTCTGGCAGAAAGCTATCCCAAAGCCCCCCCTTTTCATTCCTGACTCACACCCTCTCCCTCCCACATGCCTCAGTGTGTGTGCCTCTTCCCATCAGTTGTGTTGATTGACAGAAAGGTGTGTTTTAGTTTTTTCTCTTTATCTGTCACTAGTCAATGATACCTCACGAACGCTAAATCTATCTAATTGTCTCTTTATCTCAGCTCCAAAACACAAGAGAAGACAAACTACTGGATTCTTTTCCAGCTGTAAAAAATCAAACATTTGTATTAATTGTGACACTTCATAGTGGTCTGAGCATAAGCCGCAAGGGAAAAGAATCCCCTTCAAACGTGATCTTGACAATTGATCGTCAACACCAAATTGAGTTCAATATTTGTCATTAAATTAGAAACAGTCAGAAAATGTGTCAGCAACAATTTTGAATTAATTATGGTTTGTTTAACACAAATGTTTAAGTACTGAACATTTGTTTTTTAACTTGTAAGGATTTGCAGCCTTTCTTTTGAATGTAGAATGCTGATTATTGTTTTTAAGAAACAAGCAATGTAAAGACTTAACATTTTATAGGCCAAAAATCTAATCATGAAAATGGGAAGATATTTGGCTGATACATTTATAATGATGATAAGCATTATTTACTTTCTCTCCTTCTGGGTTCCCTGTCTAGATTTAGGTGTATTTGGTGCGACATGAGCCGGCCAGTGGTGACTACAAGCTGCTGCTCTGTGGCTGGAATTTGTGGAGTTAGGGAGAGGACTGGATGAGGGGAGTGGGAGGGGGGGAGAGGAGGGTTAGGACAGGCATGTCAGACTCTCTTTTCCAGCTGGTCCTGAGGGGTCAAACTGTGTGTAGATGTGTGCATGTCATGGCCTCTCATTAGGGGGTGAGACGCTGCGGCTCCAGACCCCCATGGTAGGATTGCCGGGCCAGTCGGCAGTGATCCTGCCACTTTGATGCCCTCTGACCCCCCCCCCCAACCCCCCTCTCCCCCCTGCTAGGAGGTTAATGAGCCACAGTGAGCTCTGTAGGCATGCTGTGTATGGTGGGGGCTTCAAGACGTGGTGCAAGGAACCTCTGGACCCCTGATATGGTCCCTTGCAGATCGGGTGATTTGTTGTGCATGTTTGGGTGTGGAGAACAATGTAAAGTAATTCTGAAATAAAGCAGATTATGTTCTATTGCACATCCCTGCACTTTAAACAACTTTAATGAAGAAGGAATCTTTACATTTTCAGAGAGTAAATCAGCGTTGAAGACAATATGGGACTGGTGCATTATATTGGGTTAGTGCCATTCAGCTAATTCTCCCTTTATACTGTCTGTCTGGTCCCGCGGTGGAGATTTAGCAAGTTCTGTAAACCATTATTATATCTGGTGAATGCTGTTTTCATTTGTATAAAAAACATACACATTTGAGCTTGTACCAGGCGTGTCTGACCACTTAAGGTGACACAAAATCTCTCGCATTTCAATTAGATTTACTACCTGCTATCCGTAATTATTGACCATATAATCACTGGTCTTCTTTGATTTGTTCCTCCCTCATTCCTGTTTACCTCTAACCTCTGAAAATTGACCCAGTAGTACTTCACATAGCTGAACAGGCAGTCCGACTGTAATGTGTTGTTTTGGACAAGCCTTGGCCTGCAATAAGGGAGGCATGGAAGTCCAAAACAGGTGCTCAGACTCTCTTTCTTTTTTTGTTTCTTTTCATCATTCACTCCCTTTCTCTCTTACTTCTCCCCACACCTGTTGAAGTGTGAGGACTCATGCTGGTTCAGCCAAGCAACTTAGCCCAACCTGAGCTAAGGTGGGGGAGAATTGAGTTGTGGGTAATTACTCAACTAGTATATACTTTATCTCCTTTGCCACCCCCTTCTGCCGACCCCCAGCCAGCTTTCCCTTGATGTAAAGGTGTTACTTTGGGCTTGATTGGTTGTGTGTGTTTTAGCACTGCAGCTAGTCCAAAAGGGACAGAGTGGGAGTGTGACATGGCATGTTTATAGAGCAAATGGGGAATCCCGTAATTAAACTTTTCTCTGGAATAAAAATATTACTTAAGGGTCAAATCTAAATGAGA